TTTCCGCCACGCCCTCAAGACATGGCTTTTCCAGCAAGCGGGCCTGGCCTAGGGAGGATTTTAAATCGGGTCCATTTTTAGAAAATTTTAAATATTCACAACTTTAAAATATTTGGGTTTTAAATTGGTTTTATTCGGCGGGGATTGTGGGCATGTTTCTGTTTTAAAATGTTGTGAGCCGCCCTGAGTCCCTCGGGAGAAGGGCGGGATATAAATCGAATAAATGAAATGAAATGAAATGAAATTCATTTTCTAAACTTAAACTACTCTCTGTTCCTAATACAGTGGAGGAGGGGGACCAATATAGATCTCAGCATTGAAATCTGCCCTGTAAATTTAGCATTAAAAAGGGATGAAATTTACAATGAGCTAGCAATTTCTTGTATTTTTATTAGTAATGCAGACACCATTTAATTCAATTATTCCTAGAAACCAGGAGCAGCAGCAGCAGCTATAAATATCAAGGCCTTTTGTTCCTGGTTATTCCTCCAGCCTTGGTCCCAGCTGGGTCACTTCTACCAAGAACAAAAGAAAAAGAAATTGGTCTCGGGTAAGGTGAACTAAATTACAAAATGCCAATGCCAATATAGACATTTACAGAGAACAAGCACTTGTAGCATCTGCACGTATCTTCAGCACAAACACTTTGGTCACTATAGAAACAGAAAACAGAATTGATATGGTCTAACAGGTCTCCTTGACTATTGCAGAATTCACTTTTGCAATATAATTTTTTTCTTGCTGGGTCAGATACAAATTTGGTGACATATCAGGGTGATACTATCTTGCAGCTTTTCATTAAGCATTAACTACTTATATTAGCCATTTTGCAATCTGATATAACCTAAGGTATCCTCGTTGGGAGGAAGGTGAAGTCCAGTGCAAGATTATAAGTTTGGGAAGAGAGTTTACTTTAATAAGCAAAATGGTAGGGGAAATACCTGGAAAATTATAAGCCTGTCACTCGCTTCTTGAGGTTCAAGTCCATCTACCATGGGACCATTCTGGAAGAGGAACAGATTGCAATATTAATAAAAATCCACTTAAAAGTCTTTCAAGAGTATATCTTTCATTCTCATCTCCAAAATGGTTACATCATTAAGGTTATGGTAATTAAAGCGATAGTTCCTTTTCCACATGCAATCACCAGCTTCAAAGTTACCAATGGAACAAGCAATCAAGTCATATTTTTCTCCCGGATACTCACATCACATGCAAACAACATACAAATCTAAGCAGAAAGATAACATAGTTTATGATCTGTGGATCAATTATGACTTTGCATAGAATGAAATGTTCAATGTTTATGCAATCTCAAATCAAACTTTTCATACTGGGAAATCTCTTCATACATTTAAAATGAAGTGTGACTCTATTCCATATCACACGGTGATACAAATGCAGCTCTTTTCAGTTGAATTAGTTCACATCATCCAAGTGTAGAATGCTTATGTGAAACTAGTTGTACTCTAAATTAATCCTTTTTAAAATTTTAAGGTTTCTTCGAAATTTCAGATATGGGAGAAATTTACTACGTATAACACTCTAACTCGGGAACTCCTTCTCAATAGGGAAATTTCCAGAGCCTGACTTGGGGATAAAATACAGTATATAAATATATATTTCTTTGCAAATATTTGCTAAACTTGTCAGATGATCGATTCTATTACTAAGATATACTATTTCATCTTGAATAATGTGTTTAGAGTTAGCTGCTTTCTATATTTGACCAACTAAGGAAAAGCACCTATAGACCAGACAGGGATGGCTTTTAAAAAAAATAAACTAGTATCTTGCATTTAAAAAACCTACAATGAAATGTAAGCTAATCTTACCTTATTTCTGCTGGGGTTTTTTAATGTTATCCTGAGCTAACCACGAATAAACTTTACTTTTAATGTCTAACCTTCAACTTATTTTCAGATAAAAGAAACAGGTTCGAAAATTATGTTTTCCCAATGTACTGCAGTATTGTACCTTGTCATAATCCGAGTAATATTGATCACAGTCTTCAACAAACACTTCCACTGTGCTGATTAGTTCCCCTCTGAATTTGGGCTGCAAAGCCACTAATTCATTTTGCACTTCATTTCCTCGGACCAACAATTTTTCCCATGCATACCGCAAAGTGTCCACCTTCTCCATCTGCTCCTTTGCCACCAGTAACTCATACTTGTTTAACATTGCATAAGATTCCTGCCAAGGCAACAGTTGTTATCTTTCATTATTAAAGTTTACACATGGCATACTAACCAAACATAGATTTGGGAATTCAAGATAAAAAATACCAGTAGAGATCCTGCTAAAGATAAAACAGAGTTGAGCTTATGCAAAACCCATCTTAAAAATCAGCAACATGGAACTTTAAATAACATTTAAACCAGAGGATAGGCAACATTTACATACTACTATCTAGTTTTTTGTTTTTGAAAGTAAATATATTTACAGCTACAGTATTTCACAACCAAATGCAGATTAATTAATGCAATTTTTTCCCCAGTTGCTACTTATGGCTGCAAAAAAGGAGTGGCTCTGAGAAAGGCAGATAGGAGAAGGGTTTGAACTGTGGACGCCTTTGAACTGTGGTGCTGGAGGCGACTATTACACATCCCATGGACTGCAAAAATAACAAACAAAGAAGTCCAAGACTGAACCTAACCAAAAATATCACTTGGAGACAAGATCACCAAACAGAAGTTGCCATACTTTGGTCATGTCATAAGAGCTGATTCACTCTTAAAATCAATCATGCTGGGAGTGATCAGCAGAAAAAAGGAGAAGGGGCCACCCTAGCACCCTCTGGCTGGACACTATAAAAGATGACACTGACATGTCCATGGCACATCTGAAGGAGGCAGTGCGAAACAGAGGGGCATGGAGAGTGATGATCCATAGAGTGGCCAAGGATCGGACATGACTAAATGGCTGATGATGACAACAGTATCCCAAACAGATTTCCTAATAATGATCTTTTAGTGCATAAATTATGATACAATTAAAGCTAGATTAATGTCATACATAATGAGTCATACAACATCAAACTTTTATTTTGGTTTTGAATTATAATAGAAAGTAGAAAAAACGAAGCTATTTCTCTGTGAATCAGGTACCTTAATTTAAACAGAGGCACACACATGCTTCTGTTATATATAAGATTGCTGTGTCTTTAAATAAAAAGCAGAAAAGCTTTGCTGTTCATGGAAATTAAATTAAGATAGAAATCATAGTATTGTGATTAGGAAAATTGCTGCTTTTTAGAAACAAATTTGATATTATTTTTCAACAAAGCAACATCACTCGCAGAAACACAGAAATCTTTAACATGTGTTTACATATTTCCGAGAGTTAAGTTAATATCTTAACCCTCAGTTAATATATATTGGGCCAGTCCTGAGTAACTCAAATAATTTCAACATATCCTGTAGTATTAATTGAAGCAACAATAGATTTTAAAGAAATGTATAATAGGGGATAGGATCATGGGGAATTACATATATATATATTAAAAAAATGAAAAAAATTGTTTATTCTTTAGAAAATGAAAGGTGGCATGGCCTCTTTAGTTTATATCACTAGTATGATTAAGGCTGGTTATCGTCTTACATTTTCCTGCATCTCTGGCCTGCAAAAGATGTGGCCCACCAACCAGCCTTGTGGAGCCCCTCAGCATTTTTTGAAAAATAACCAATCCACTGCCACCAAACATGATGCCAGCCAGGAAGGATCCACTGCCACACTGCCACTTTTACCCAGAAAGAAATGTTTTTGAACCACTGAACCAGCCATTTATTGAATCAGTGCACCAGCTATTCCTTTGGGACCCACAATTATTTTTATGGTATAAGGTCCTTTCCTCTTCAGGAGTTGTGAAGTCCTGCTCTATGAAAAAGTGTTACATGATTGACAAAAAGCTTGATGGGCAGGGGAAACCAATACTTATGGGGCATTTGTCCCTCAATTATGAGGAACTGATCTCTTCTGCACTCCCTCTGTCCTGTAAAAACAAAGTTTGCAGATTTTTCATACTTTTATCTTTGGAAACCATTGGGCAGAAAGTCAGTCAGAGACAAGCAAAGTAAGTCCCATTCCCCCTTGAATGACACCATTAAGAAGCTAAATCTGTAAAGTGAGGTATTACACCATCAAGGAAGAAGCAGAAAGGAAAAGATACTAAAGCTGCCGAAAGCGAAAAAAAGGTTTTGGTGTGAAAACAAAGATGCAGTTGATAGGACAACTTTGAAAACATGAGCCTCTGAATAGACTTTTCCATCATCTTGCCTTGCCTTCCTGTGTAAGAAACGAATTTGCCATCTTTCGTTAAACTAACACAAGGCAGAGTTCAGTGCCAGATGGCAGAAGCAATGGGCCCGGGTTCCCTTCCCAGTTACCTCAACTGGTCCCACTTGGAAGTCTATGGGGATTTGTTGCTCTCGGATCTCTTTCAGGGCAGCCATGGCTATTCTTATATCATCCAGGTCTTTAATCTGACGGTTCAGTTTCTTGCTGATTTCCTCTACAAAGGTGAAGATGTTTTCCATCTCTGTCCTGTATTTCTTATTACAGTGGCGTCCAAAGGCAGTCATCCAAGCTTTGGTTTCAGTTGTAAGGGCCAACTTTAAATCCGCTACAGAACGTGGAGAAGCTTCAGTTAGGACCAGATTGTTTTATAAGTACTGATACAACACATATTAAATCTGCTATCCCCTCTTCCACATATTTGGTGACAAGAGACAAAATAGTAACACCTTTTTAGTATACCTCAGGGGAAGCAGCAAAAGCAGAGAGCTTTATAGCTTTATTTTATGAATGCGATGAATGCTATGTAGAAATACATTCCACTGAGTCCAAAAGGATTTCTAGATAAACCTTTTGGTGCTGGTAAAAGCACTTAATGATTTGGGGAAAGATGAGAATTCCCCTGTCTGGAGAATGATGTAAAGTAGAATTGTCCACACTGTATACTTCAAAGGGGCTAGCATACTCTTTTTCTTAAAAATGTTGGTACAAGAGTTTGGAAATTTCTCTTTTCTTGCTAACTAGCTCAGGCCTTTAATCTAGATTTTTTTAAATGCTTTTTTGCCTTATAATGGCAAAACAAAGGAAAGGTTTAGGCACTGATATTTCAGATTATCCAACCTTATTTTGGGACTGCAGTCTTAATGTTGCTTTGAAAAGCATTCTGAATGAAATTGAATAAAATTTACTACTAGCTGAACATGAAATCGCCATACCAGTATATAGTGCAACAGTTCCCACACGTATGTATTCAGCTTCTGAATTAATTTTTAATTCTAAGTCTTGGTAATAAAGGATTTGGGATTCAAAATCAGACAGCAAAGGGCTTCCTTTGATGAAATTTTCAATAGTTTCTTCCTTCTCTCTTTGCCAGATGTGATGATAACATTTGAAACGCTCCAAAGCTGAAACAACTTCCTGAAACATTGATAAAAACCAACACAAGGCAATTGTATACAAACAGTTCCACTGCTAAGTTTTGATATATATTACTTCATGCAGTAATGACCCATGAACGTTGGCATTAAAGGCTTTCATTCATATCTGGAAAATCATGGGGTATGATTTATTCATTCATTCATTTATATATTTATTAAATGTACAATATATGCCACTCATCTCACCTAGAGCAGGCTTACAGCCAAGTAAAAGCAATAAGATAAAACATTTAAAAAATATTAACAATAAAATTAACTTAAGATTAACAAAGATGGCAAGGAAGGGAGCAAGATACACACGAGATGGAGGTGGACCCTTATCGCAGTCCATTAAACACCTCTAATATGACATGCTTCCATCAGGCCCTTGTTGTTACCAAAAGCAGACTTGGTATTTGTATAGCTTGTAAAACAAAACCATTTTGTTTTGTTTTGGTAGCCTTCTTGGACTAATCCATTTTGTACTGCTGAAATATTTTGCTTTTTCTCTCTCTGTTTCTGCTGCCACCCTGTACACCCGTCACCCCTTCACCACCACTTTGTTCTCTTCCTTTGTTTCCTGCTTCATGATCCTTTCTCACTTTCTGGACAATTCCTGGACTCCAACTTTCACTCCTATGCTTTTGCTCACCCTTTTGGTAGAACTGATTGTTGTACTAAGCACAGACACCAATTTAATTATTTCCTTGTTCTCTGAGATGGCTTTGTAGTAGTTCTTTTTCTGGATAGGAGAAGGCAAGATCACAGAGGCTGTATCGGAAGCTGCATCTAGACAAAAAAACAAAACAAAACAAGGAACTCTACATCAGAAGGCCAAAACTGGAACATTTTTCTAAAGCATGTATGTGATCAATCAGGAATATGTGGCTTCTTTGGGGCCGAGATGATATTTTGCCTTTTGGCAGCAAAAAAAGAGTGATACTCCAAAAGATATAATGGACCTCAATAAAAACTGGATTGGCTTCATAATTGGTTCAATTCAAGGTGAAATCTCTAGGTCAAGCTTTAGATGGCTTCCAGGGCAGTAGCAAGCATCCATCTGATGGTTGCTTGGATCTGCTCCAAAGTGGACTCTGGCCTTGAGATAGGTCCCATGTAGGTATCTGAAGCTGGGGAGAGTCTGATCCTACTGATGAAGTTAACAGGGATGTTGGAATTGCTTACTCGGCCACTTGCATATTAGACTGCATATTAGACTCTCTCTCTCTCTCTCTCTCTCTCTCTCTCTCTCTCTCTCTCTCTCTCTCTCTCTCTCTCTCTCTCTCTCTCTCTCTCTCTCTCTCTCTCAGCTGCCTAAGTCTTCCTGGAGCTTCTACGGGGCCTACATCCAAGATTACTGTGGGTCACATAAAATCTTGCAGCCTTGGGTTGTACACCTTAGCTATAATTGTGCTTCGATATGTCCTTTCGAAAACATGTGCAGTGAAAATGTCATTTCGTACAGTGGATTGGCAAGGAGTGAAATAAAGGCTCTAGATTGCTTTTGTGAGAATGAATTGAGTTTCTGCAAGCGATTGGCATGTTGCAACCCTCGTAGGCTTAAAAGAGCTTCATGGAGTAAGTAGCAAAAAGAAAAAAAACCCAAAATGGCACGTGTCTAGAGTTTACAGGAAGAATTGTGGAAGATTGGTCTATCTCTTTGGAATTCCAACAGGCAAAGGTGGACATTCCCTCTTGACTAGTAAATTACTTGTTTAGAAAGTTAGTGTATCCACTGCTTTAAGTTAATCCTTTTATGCATGAAAATAAGGTTTTGTGTTGCCAGCTCTCTTGTCTTACCTTTTACTTTGACAACCTTTTTCCTCTTCTTTTTATTCCAAGGCTAACTCAATCCATTAATCTAGGCTGCTCTGACTTTGACATTCACACAGACACTACTAATGGGATGAGAGTATCTTTCCCACATTCTAAAGATATGTGCTTAAAGTATGTTATTACCATCACATTGTTTCATGATTAATTGTTGCATCAATGCAATGATACATAACACTTAAAAGACTTTGCATTTAAATCTTAGGAAAGTCAAGAAACATAGATAAATACCCTGGTTTCCAACTTCATTGTCTTTCATTTCAGTCTCAGAATCACTGCCTCCTTCATTTCGTAAAGCAAGCATTTTGCGTTCTAACAACTTTTTCTGGGCAGAATGGGGAAAAAAAACACCTTAGACTTCAATAGTTAAAACTGCATACTGTTTATCAGTAGACCTCCTTGAAGTACATAAACCCATACCTTTGATAGTCTCTCCTTACTCCACTGACCAACTCCTTTCATGGTGCTTACAATACAATCGGCAGCTTTGTTGAGTGTTTGCTGAATTTCTTCAAGGGTTGGCATTATAGCAAAATTTGGAATAGAAAGGATAACACTAGCTTTAAAGATGGTTGCAGCATTTTGTTTCTGCTTTGAGATATTCTCACTATCTATATGGAAATGAGAAACACAATCCTTATTAATCCACTTAGATACAAACTAAAATCCACATCTTCCAAACAGCCAACGGTTACATAATTCATCAAAGCTTGTGGTTAAGATACACTGAAAAAACAATACAAGACCAACTGACTTTGTCTGAATAGAAAAACCAAGGAAGCTTGGTTCATTGTGTTCGATTTAAAAGATAACTTCCTTGAAAACGTTTAACACAATGAAGCACAAGGTACTTGGGCCACAAGTAATATACAGCATGTGAACCATGCTGGTCATACAGTCATGAAAAGACCACCAATTTATTGATGAAACATGTATTCTTTGGAGATTGCATATATCTGCACTGCTCACAGATTCCCTTCTACCATAAATACTTTAAGATGTGTTTTCATTAGAACAAACAAAAAGCTATCTTGCTTTGAACTTTCAGCATTTTGTCCCATATAGTGGGTTGGATTCAGATCAATAATACTATTCTCATTGGGACATCTTCCATTCGCATGAACATTGGAATTGAAGCCAAGAGAGGTAAAAATAAGAAGGCAAACAGTAGTGTTAAGCTACATTTTTATTCCTCCTAGGTTTATTTCATGCTGCTGTGCAGAATCAACCAACTTCTCTTCAGAAAGAAAAAGGAGTTATCACAAACTTGGTTTCTCCATTTCCTTTTACCAGTTTAAGTCTGTTGTGATAATTATTTTGTTCAAAAAGCATTTGGCCCTCAGACTTCCTTGGTCATAAATTTGAACAATCAAATCTACAACTTGGGAACTTTCCTGGAGTTAGAGCTCCTGCTGGATTACCAAGTGGAGGTCAGGGCAAGGAGGCCTCTGCCCAGCTGTAACCCTATCTAGAACAAGATCACTGGTAATGGTGAATCATGTCCTAGTCACCATTAGGCTAGATTATTGCAAGATAATTCACATGGCATTATCTTTGAAAACAGGTGCAAAATGGAGCAGCCTAAATGCTAGCGTATGAGAGCCACTGTAGCTATAAAACTCTATGGGCTCCACATGGCTAAAATTCACGTGAGTAAAATTCAAGGTATTGTTTTTCATATATATTTCCTTATGTGGCTTGGCTCCCAGGTGTCCTTCAAGACTGTTGTTTCATGTGAAAGTGGCCTAACACAGACACTCCCCCTGAGTAGGCAGGTGAGCATATGGCAACAATATTTTCCTATGACATCATTTAGATGCTGTCCTGGATATTTTGACATTACAAAAATGTCTAGGCTTCAAAAGCACATTAAGCAATGAGCCCAAATACAATTTTGTCTATAACATGTCATTTCTGCTTAAACAGTAATACTATGTTCAATGGAGTTATACCTTGAGTATACTATTTAGGAGTAAATCTCACTGCATTTCATCAACAAGCTATTTTTAGAATGTTCTTCTATTTTTTTTAAACTGACTGTCAACAAAGATACGTTCACATTATTGATAGACCAATGTTCAGGAAGCACAAAACCAGAGTTGCAATGGACTGCCATTTTCATCACAGCAAATTATTACAATGGTGGCACAGAGCTGTGACATGGGCATTTCAGAACTTGAGTTATTCTACTGATTTCTTAATTCTAGTTTGTGGATAAGACTCCGTGTAATCTATATGGAGAAACAGACTAATTAGGAGGAGTGCTATAGAGATGTGCTTTTTTCACACTACCCTCTTTCCTTGACACCACCTTACTCCTTCACACCACACTCACAACGTAATTGTGTTCTCCATGCTATATATATATATATGGTTTCTTCATAACAAATCAACCTCTTTTTTGCTTAAAAAAAAGTTAAGAAAAGAAAGCAATTACCTAAAAAACTGATCACAGAAGAGGCGTGAATTTGCTTGCGTATGGCCTCCAGAGTGTTACGAATAACTTTCAGAAGGGCATCAACGTTGCGATGACTGAAATGGGAGAGCAGTTCCTGAGCTTCTTCTTCAATCATCTCCATTTCTTTCTTTTTTTTCTTGGTTAAAGGAGAAGACAATCCTACTGAAATCTGACTAGCAGTCTGTGAGGATGCTAAGACGTCCAGTGGACCTTCTTCTTCTATAGATGGGAATAACGACTGAATTAAATCAGCAAAATTCTGATCAACCAATAAATGAATCATCAGTACTATCAATAGATATATGCAACCTTATGCAATTCCATAATTCAATTCCATATATTAATCAGCACTGAGTTTTAAATGGACAAAGGAAAATATATGAATAAGAATTGGTTGGGTTTATTATTGTCATCATCTCTATCATTTTACAATAACAAAGTCAGCAATAATGGGAGGATCTAGCATCCCTCTCCTTTTTCTACATAACAGGAGCATTTCAGTATTAGCATGTGTTTTCTAACAATACTTTACTTTAAACTGTCCTGTTTAGATTATTGCTTCAGCAGCTTGCCGAATGAGTTAATGACCAAAGCCTGCATATTGTTAACCTTTCGAGGTAGGACAGACAAGAACAAACTCAGAAAACTAACAATATCTTTATCGTCAGGCTAGAGTAACTGAATTTTGCAAGTCTGAAAGCCTTCTCCTCTTCTTTACTTATACTCCCCAGAAAACCAGGTAGGGTCCCTTCTAAAACACTTCCCACACCTCTTTTCTTTGTGTGGACTGAGATACCTCTTGCATGAGTTGTTTAGGCTGCAGTGCTTCCTCCTCTTTTCCAAAATCATTTCCACATGCCATTACACAAAAATCCAGGATTCCTGTGCTATGTATTGGTTTGACTCACATTTACTTAATTAAAATAGAAAAGTTATAAAAGCTTATTCCATCAGTTGCCCTTTCTTACAAATTACGCTTTGAAAAGTTTTGCTCTTACTATTCAGATGTTTCTCACATTACCGAAATATTCCACACCCCAAAGGTTTCTAGCACTGCCAGTGTAAAGGTCTTAGCTGCAGAGTGTTCTATCTAGAATTTTGATCCTCTTCTTATTCTTTAAATAACTTACAGAAATGGGAAAAGTGTTCCTACTGGCTCAATTTGCATTAGCTATTTAGGTGGCAGAACTCATTATGTTATTGAAATATACTATTCCAGGGGTCCCCAACCCCCGGTCCGTAGACTGGTACTGATCCATGGCATGCCAGAAACTGGTCCGCACAAACCAGTGAAGCTTCATCTGCGGGATGCAAGCAGCATGCAAATCTACACCAGTCCATGGAAAAAACTCTCTCCATGGAACCAGTCCCTGGTGCCCAAAATGTTGGGGGCCTCTGTACTATTCCATACATTTATTTTATTTTATTTTATTTACTTGTATTCTAACTTACAAGCCATGAGGAGAATAAACAAATAATACAGTGCTAATTTACATATGGTATGTTTGCTGTTACCTTCGTTAATTCCTTCAGTTCTGCTTCCACTCAGAAAACTCTCATCAGTGTCCCCCTTATGCTGAGTATCCAGATCTAGCAACATGTTGATAAGCTCATTTGTTGCTTCTTCTGCTAATGAACTTTTGAGATGCAGTGTGTATACTCCTTTGGTACAGAGCTCCTAGAAACAAAACATGGAGCATTCAGTTAAATTTCACTCTACTTTAGCAATGCTGGCAATAGGATATACTTAAAAACTCAGATGATCTCAACATTCTCTTGTGCTGCATATCCACAAAAGAAGAGAAAAGTTCCATAGCCATGAGAAACATGAATTAAAGACAGTGGAGAACTCCTAACCAAATAGTAAACATGTCTGATTCTAATAAGTTTCCAAGACCAGGCAAGGTAAGCTAGCTACTCCCATCAGCTGGGACTGTCAGAAATATAGTTGTTCTTGATTCAAGAGCAGTTTCCTCCATTTGTATTATGAATATGAAGCGGGTAACCACTGACAGAAAAGAAAATCTACTATCAACTGACATTTCCGTATTTAAAAAAAAATGGAGCCCCAATTCCAAAGAAAAGAGAATAAAACTTTTCCCAAATCTGAATATTTTAAAACACACAGAAGTATTACTACGGCAAAATAAACAGACCCAAGCATATCCTCAGAAGTACGTTCTACTACCTACATAATATTAACGGCGTCAGATATTATAAGTTAGAACAAGTGGGGATAAATCTTTTATTGTTTCTTCATTAGGAAATCTCATCATAATTACAAACGGTAAACTCATATGCACCAAGTAGCTCGCAGAGGCCTTGCCTGCAGCCCTCTGCTATTATTAATTTAATCACCACAATCTCTCCCAGGTGCCTATAGTTCTGCAAAAGACTACTAATGTGATTTGTTTTTAGCTTTGGCTCCATGACTGTGTGAATCCTGAATTGTGGTTTGCAAACTAAGATTTATTTATGTTGCAATGATTCGTATGAAGGAAGTCACTTTGGCTTATTCAGTAAAAACATAGTTAAAACAAGTCAGCCCTAAAATGCTAGTACTTCATTTTTGACAACTTTTGACTGCTATTAAGTATGTCAATGCAAGAGATGGACTTTCCCATAGCAGGAAAGTTTGCCATTTGTTTACCAGGCCTCATTTGACCATCTTTGAAGCAAGGTGTAAATATATATATAAATTTACCCAAGCATCTCCTTGAATGTTTGTTTTGCCTAGTGGTCCTATAGGATTAGATTCTGTAGGTTTTGAGTAGATTAGTGTGATATTTGTAACCTCCTTGTTTTGGTGTCCACTCAATTCTTGTTTCACTCATTTTCCAGAGGTAAGCTAGCTTCGAAGGTTTGGGGTCCCTCAAAGTTTCTTGTATATCAAGAGAGAGGGAGTGCAAGCATTTATCTTGACGTATACTGAGAAATGTTTTTCAAAAGATTTGAATCATTTTTGTTACAACCATGTGGTGGTATCTACTGAACAGAGCAAGCAAATGGGCAGTCACTTCCACAAAGGGCCATTGCTGATTCTACATGCAGAATAACTAGCAGATGCTTTACATTCTAAATCATGCCCATGGTCCACACCCACAACTTCTGATACATGAATTTCTATGCTTCATTCTTTTCTTTCAGAGTTATTTGAATTTTTATTCTCTTTCTTTCATTGTAATTTCCTTCCCATTTTAGTCAGCTGGTATACACCTGGGTTCACACATCACACTAATCCAGGCATGTCAAACTGCTGGCCTGGGGGCCGGATGCATCACGTTGAAACCGCACCCAGCCCATTGCTGGCAATAGGGAAAAAGTCGCAATATGTCATGCAACGTCATGAGTTTGACATGCCTGCACTAATCCATACTAATCTGAGAACCCGCCCACAGTGTCTTATTTCACAAATCATGTTTAAAAAAACAAAGAATGGCTTGGAACAATATAGCAATCTAACCTATTTTCCCAGCCTCCATTCTTCCCTAGCAGTTTCTTAGCAGCCAGTATTCCTAAGGATTAACCTTTATTTCTAGGACTCCTTAAGCATCCTTATATCTTGGAGGGAGTGAGGTCAAGGACAACATTTTGATTCTTGCCCCTTCTCTTATTTGTGCCTGATGTTTTCTGGTAACATGCTGTTACTGATGCAATGGTATACACTCTTCTGTTTTCTATTTCAACAGGGCCTGAATGTATAAAGTCAATGAAACAGGTCGTGGCCACATATTACTGTCTTTTTTTTTTTTTTTTAAACTTTCTCCATAAAAAAAATATTGTGACTGCGTGATGCCTATGCTGCCTACTTCAAACAAAGACTGGCTATTGTGCTGTCATGCCAACACTCCCTCCCTGAGCTGACTACTGTGATTCATAGCAATACTTCATATCTGCCTTCTTTAGTGACTGGGCATTGTGGCCTCATGTTAATGGTATCTGCCGGAAGAAAAGAGACACATTGACCCTTGCAGCTACCTTTGCCAATCATTTCAACAACAACAAAAAATATGTCTTCCATTTGCTAAGTCAGATAGCAGTTTCTTATTTTCTTTTTCTTCTATCTCTCAAATGCATAATTCAGCTCTATGCATACACATAGGCACTATCGTCCATAAATGATTTAAAAGCTACTGATTTAATTTCTCCGTGCTATGCCTGTCTGATGTCTGTCAGACCTATTGTATAGCAGGAAATAAGAGTTAGTGATTGGGAAGAATGAGGATTGGGGGGGGGGGATCAAAAAGACTAACTTTGAGAATGGTCACCATTATTCTCGTGGAGCAAAAGAAAACAAAACTACCATTTCTAATCCTGCAAAAATTAAACCAAAAACTCCACTCAGAATGTCAGGTGACAAAGAGAAGAATCCTAATCTGACCTCTTTCTTTGTAACATACTATTTTTTTTACAATACATCCTATTGTACTATACTGAGAATTAATGCCACAATGTGTAATAGAGGGTTTGGGGGTTTGTTTGAGGTTTTTGTTTTGTTTTGTTTTGTTTTGTTTTTGGTGCCTTAAAGACAGAGTTGACTCCTTGATTTTTCTTGGCAAGATTTCTGAAGTGATTTGCCATAATCTTCTTTCTAAGGCTAAGAAAGAATGACTGACTCATGGTCACAAAGCTGGCTTTGTGCCTAAGGTGGGCCTAGAACTTTTATGGTCTCCTGTTTTTAGCCTGGTGCCTGAATCACTACACCAAACAAGCTCCCATCCAAAAGAGATTATATTTTTTTGCAAAGAAGTGTGTGTGTGCATGTAAGAACATGCAGTTGTGAGCTACTTCTTTCACTCTGAAAATGAAGCTATAGGATTGTACCTTTGTCATGTGAAGGAACTGCTCACAGGTCAATGGGTCATCTTCAGGAAGAGTGCAGAGTGGAACGGTACTAATTTCTTGAAGAATAGCACTAATGCGAAATTCTACTAAGTCATTTACTCGATCAAGTAGCAGCTCAAGGTTATCTTGAAAAGCAAAGAAGATACATTTCATTACCATTACCATTACATTTCATTACTGTTTAAGAGCCAAGCCTCTCTCTGAAAACATGTAAGAAGAATATGATAGCATCTCACACCAACTTTAAGCGTCATCTTTCTCGGATAGCAGAATTCATCCTCAAAATTGTCAAGGGAGCAAAAGAAAACATTCCAATGGGATCAGTCTCTAAGATGTTCAAAACTGAGTGCAGCTTTTATCGTAATGTACTCTTAAAGGAATGAGAAAGTGCCGGCACTGACACAGAGTCTTATTCGTTTGAACACTGACCAACAATCTATAGACTAATAGAGGAAAGCAGCAGATGAAGACTTCATATTTATTGATTTATTGGGTCAATTTTTTCGGCTTTTCCTCCATGAGCTCAAGGCCGATCACATAGGGAATTTTCTTTCAGTTTATCTCTTTCTGCCTTTCCAATAAAAGCAGACTGCAAAAGCAAGTTTGCTACCTTAAGCAAAGCCTTTTTTTTTTACAAACCACAATGGCTGTGTTCTCACTACAGGCTAAGCCAAATTCAAAGAAACGTAATCACAGATGTCTTTTCCTGCAGTAGAAAGATAAAAAGGGCCCAAGGGACAAGGACTGGCATCTGTAAAGATACTTCTTCACCCATGTAAATCAAAACCTTTATATTTCTTTTGCTGCAGCCTCAACGGCAATCCCATACTACATGAATTCTCTAGCAAAAAATATTAATGAATGTCAGAATAACAGAGTAACAGAGTTGGAAGGGACCTTGGAGTTCTTCTAGTCCACGGGTCGGCAACCCGCAGCTCCGCAGCCGCATGTGGCTCTTTGAGCCTTCTCCTGCGGCTCCCAGCCTCCTCTGCCATTTGCAGAGAGACAGAGACAGAGAGAGGTACTTGCACTTCCCTTCTCTCTCTCTCTCTCTCTCTCTCTCTCTGTGTTTGTGTAAAAGAGAGAGTATCCTCACGCTGTTCCGACGAGCTGACAAGCTTATTGGGCAGGGCTCCTCCCTTTGCTGCATCTCTGCAGGAAGCAGGAAGCAGGAAGGGCAGGAGAGAGCCAGCCCAATAATGTGTGTCAGCTTGTTGGAGAAGAGCCTGAAGCCAGCTTGCCAGGTGAGCAGAAGATCAGAGAGAGGGAGGGGGGAGAGAGAGAGAACGAGAGAGAGAGAAAAGAGAGAGAGAGAAAGAGAGAGAGGGGGAGAGAGAGGGAAGGAGAGAGAGAAAGAGAGAAGAAAAAGAGAGGGGGAGAGGAAAGAGAGAAAGAGAGAGAGGGAGAGGAAAGAGAGAGAGAGGAAAGAGTGAGAGAGAGAGAGGAGAGAGAGAGAGAGAGAGAGAGAGAGAGAGAGAGAGAGAGAGAGAACTCATGCACAGCAGCCTCTATTTCTTTTTAATTAAACTCTTCAATCAAGCTCCCCACCCCTTGTGTGCGCGCATGTGTCCGCGCACAGGTTTTGCAGCTCCCAGTGTTTTCTTTTCTATGGGAAACAGGTCCAAGTGGCTCTTTGAGTGTTTAAGGTTGCAGACCCCTGTTCTAGTCCAACCCCCTACTCAAGCAGGAAACCCTGAACATTTCAGACAAATAGTTGTCCAATTTTTTCTTAAAAGCCTCCAGTGTTGGAGCACCCACAGCTTCTGGAGGCAAGTCGTTCCACTGATTAATTGTTCTGTCAGGAAATTTCTCCTTAGTTCTCTCCTTGATTAGTTTCCAACCATAGCTTCTTGTCCTGCCTTCAGGTGCTTTGGAGAATAGGTCGGCCCTGTCTTCTTTGTGGCAACCCCTTAGGTATTGGAACACTGCTGTCATATCATCCCTAATCCTTCTTTTCATTAAACCAGACAATTTCTCTATTTTGGAAAAAAATGAACCATAAATGATAAATTGTCTACCAGCATGCCTACTTCTTGTCTATCCCAAAAGTGTTTTTTCAAGAGGCACAACTGGATTTGTTTTTCTTTGAAGACAATTCGCTTCTCATCCAAGCTTTTTCACATCTGACTGGATGGTGGGGAATGGAAGGATTTATATTCCTTGCAGACAGCTGGTCATTTGCATTCTTTTAGAGCAGGGGTGTCATGCCAAAACCACGCTCACCCCATTGCTGGCAATGGAAAAATAGTTGTGATATGTCACAACACGTCACGTGACATTGCGAGTTTGACACCCCTTGTTTTAGAGAGTCATTGAGGCCACTTGGAGATTTATCTATGTCCTCAAGGTCACCTGAGTGGTGCAAATGGGTGTGGAGCCTTCTTGGAACTGCTGAAAGGATTGTGTTGTAGACTGTAGATAGATGATGTCATATCCCTTCCTGTCTATTGAAAGAGGGCTCTTTGAAATTAAACACAGTCCTTTCAGCAGAGGAATTCTGGGAGTTGAAGTCCAGACTTTTTAAACTTGCCGAGGTTGAGAAACACTGAGATAGACCATATACAAAGACTTACCAAGTTTACTAAAAATATTCTCTAAATAAGTTTCAATATTAAGGGATGTCCAGGTCAGTGTGGTTATTCCTGGTTGGATCGACTCATCCACTTTAGCCACATGAGGAGCCATTAGAGCATGAAGTGGGACTTGGATTATTGATTTTATTCTCTTATATTCTGCCAGCATCACCTGAAAAAGAACCAACTTAAATTGTAACTAAAAGTATAATTGCAAATTCACTTAACTGGTCATGATCTGTTGTATACATTTCAAAGTTTATTTGCATAGCCTGTGACTGAAAATAAAAATACTAAAAGGACAATAATCAAGTACTGAAATTGGAAATAAAGAGGAAGTAAAACAGGGTTATCAAGTTTGTTTTTCAGCACACTGAAGTATAAAGTTCCAATTAGACTGGAACCTGAAAACTTCCTTTTTTGCCATTTTTATTCATCTTTTTTGCCATAATGTATTCATCTTTACATTATTATTATTATTATTTATTATTTATTTAACTTATATGCCGCCCTTCTCCCCATGGGACTCAGGGCGGCTCACAGCATGTTAAAACAATAA